CTTATAGAGGTTTATAAAAATCATGAGCAGCATGAATAGGGTGAATAGCCAAGGCTTTTTTCCCAGGGTAGGGGAGTCTGGAGGGCATAGGTTTAAGGTGAGAGCGGAAGATAAAAAATGGACCTAAGGGACAACTTTTCCACACAAAGGGTGGCACATGTATAGAATGAACTGCCAGTGACTGTTCTGAAGAAGGGTTACCGGACCCAAAACGTTAACTCTGTTTTTTCCTTCACAGATGCTGCCAGACCTGCTGAACTTTTCCAGCAACTTCTGTTTTTGTTCCTGATTTACAGCATCCGCAGTTCTTTCAGTTTTTATTTAGTACTAATGAGGGTAATACATTTGATGTGGTCTATATTGTTTTCTGAGGAAGTCCCTTGTGGCAGTCTGATCAAATAAGAAACAGCTCACAGGACCCAAGGCAAAATGGCACACTGGATCCAAATTTAGTTGAAAAGCAAGAAACAGAGGATGATGGCAAAGGGATGTTTATTTCCAGTGGGGCTCCATAGAGCTCGGTACTGGGGCCTTTGCTGTTGTGAAGTTCAATAATGATCTAGACATAAATGCAGAGAGACAATTCTAGCACAAGTGGTGTCCAAAATTGCACATGCTTCGAAAAGTCTGTCTCTCTCTCTCTCTCAAAACACTCAGCCTTCAAGTTTCTGCTGAAATCAGTATGCATATCACTAAATGGAAATAAACAAAGAACTGCAGATGCTGGAGATGTGAAACTGAAATTGTTGGTGAAACTCAGGTCTGTTAATAACTGTGGGAGAAAATAGTTAAGGTTTCGATTCAGGTGACTCTTCTTCAGAAGTTGATGGAAACACCAAATGGAAAAACCTGCCACAAACCAGGACAATCGGACAGTGTTTTGAAATGTAATTTAAACAAAAAGATTGAACCAAATTCTTAAGATATATTTAAGAATGATAATGTGATAAAGTTTGATTAATACAACTGAACCACAATAACAATTTACCACCTTCTGAGAAATCCAATTTCAAATTACAAGAATTACTTTTAAAGATTATATGAAACTCTTGTGTATTTTGGTGTGTAGGTTGTATACATGACATTCCCTCTCCTTCTTTCAGCTTTTTTAAAAAACATTGTCTGAAATTCACCTGCTTCAGTCACCCAAGATATTAATTCATCTTTTCTTTCCAGATACCGACTGCCCAACCAAAAGTTGGAGCTTTGACAGTTTTTGATAAAGTACAAGCACACAGATTGGTAGGGTAGCTGACCTGATGGGAGGCTATTAACTGAAGGATATCAGAACAGGCTAATTTGGAAACTTGATGCCAGAGACTGAATTCACACAGGGCTTCCAAACAAAATTAGTGAAGCACCAATCTCTTTTACATCTTCAAAAGATGATGTTTCGACAATTGTTAATAAATGTCAAGTACAACGAAAGCTTTTGCAACACACTATTTAACAATTGGATGACGTTTAGAAGACCATAACACTGTCTGCTGATGTGAAAAAAGCATAAATTAAGTTGTCACACGCTAACTGGATGTGGAGGTTGTGTTGTTTGGATTTGTCATGCAGCACCCTGTAGCTATGTGAGCAGTGCACATTCTGTGAAGGTCAAAAAAACAAAAGACTCCTCAGCTTTAAACCCTGCAAGATACAGAATGCTGACAGGTCAATAACTGCTCGTATGAGAACTAGAAAGGGTAAAGTGAAGGCCATTGAGCATCAGGGGTTCAAGGGAACACTGGATGCTGAGAATACAACTATATTGTGATATCACCTCCGAATTATGAGTAACCTTGCTGATGCTCAAATATTTACACATTGGTAGTATTTACAGAAGTGCTCCTTTTTTGTATTGGAGATTTTCAAATTAGATTTTAAGCAGAATAAGCTTTAACTGCAGATTCACGAAACAGGATTACATAATCCACTACAGATGTGCTGTTTACTTTAGCCTCGGATTCATTATTCTGCGTCAGGATTGCTGCTGTAAAGTCAGGGGAATCACAGAAAGCGTGTGTTTTAAGAAACGATCACTAACACAGCAATGTTTTGAAAGCTTGCACACACAATGCTCTGCATGGGAAGATTTCAATTGTGAAATAGAGAGGCTAGCATTTATACTGTGCCTCTCAGGATCATTGACCATCCCAAATCTCTTTACAACTTGTTCTGATGCCTGACAGGTCAGCCAGTTTGAACAGTGCATAAAAAACAGCAATGGTTGAGGGCAGAATATTGACCAGAACAGAAATTGCCTGCTGTCCTTCAAATCAGCATCATGGGATCTTTGACACCAACCCACAAGGACAAACTGTGCCTTGGTTTACAGTGTCACTCAAAAGGCAACACCTATAACAATGCAGCAATCCCTAAGCAATGGACTGAAGTATTTAAAAAACAATTTAGGATTTGAACCCACGTGCATCTGATTGAGATGCTACTGAGCCACAAATTACAATCTGGTTAATTATAGGGAGGCAAAGGCACAGCATTGTCTCCAAAACATAACACAGAAAAGGAGAAAAATAAAGGAAAGAGGAAAGTTCAGACTGACAGTTCTGAAGGGTGACTTGAAACATCAACTCTGCTTTGAGTTTCTCCACAAATTTGTTTTTGTTTAAAAAACCCTCGCAATAATATTCTGATAAGTGCTGAAGTTGAATTTGTCTGAAACTATTAAATCAACCTCTCCCTGATGAAATGAAAGCTGTGCCTTTAGTGTATGCTTCTACAATGCATAGTTTCTCAAATCTCAAACGTAGTAGTGCCTATTCTTTTCAAGCTTAAACAAATGCTTATACTGGGATTGCTTATAACTCATCATTTCTTTGCATCTCTTTTAGCTTTGATAATCACACATGGACCATACATATCAGGAATGCCCAAGGTTCACTTCTCAGTGCATGCAGTGTTAGCTGATCTCTATTGGGATAAGGTTAAGCTACAACGAGCAGAGCAGTCTTAGATTTGAAGGGGGAGGGTCCAGCAATTCCAATTAAAAATACATGTGTGTGTGGGGCAAGCAAAGGCAAGACTGGTCAAAGCTATGATAGTGAAATAAAACTTGGTGATATTCTCAAATGAAACCTTGCATGTAAACATTGATGACATATCAAAGAGTGATTGGCAACCATGACAATGACTTCAGAAGAGACTGAAAATAAAGACTGGTAACTACATAGTATCTTCATGACCCTAAGACATCCGAAAGCACTTTTCAGCCAGTCAATGAAGTGCTGTTGAAGTGGACTCGCTGATGTAATGTGGGAAACAAAGCGGCTAATTTGCACACAGCAAGCTCCTGCAAACAGCCAAGTGATGTCGACCAGATAATCTGTTTTTGCGATGTTGATTGAGGGATAAACATTGACCAAGATATCCCTGGGTAGAACTCAAAGTAGTGCACCAAAGAGGGCAACTAGATCTCCAGTTTAACATCTCATCCGAAAGACAGCTTTCAGAAATGTAGTCCTTCGGTACCACACTGGAGTGTCAGCCTAGATTTTGTGCTCAAGACTTGGAATTTAATTCGAACCCACAATCTTCAATTAAAGTAGCAGAAAAAGAACCACTTTTCTATTGTACTGCAAGTGTGTAGTGCACAAGGTTAAACACAGTACTGTTTAGATCCTCAAATCAGCAGTTATTTTAATTCACCTGCTTGGACATGTGGCAATCTCCAAGGCAGGTGGACTTGAAACGTACCTCCTATTGTGTACTACACCAGTGTAATTTTTTTCATTATTCATACCAGTAAATCTCACCTCTCCAATGAAGGCTAGAAATTTGGTATTGAAATGCTGTGTGGAACCAAACATTTTTCCATTAAAAATTCTTACATGCATAGTGAAAAGACAGTCAGCTCTTTCAAACTGCTTAGAGTCGAAATTCTAGTAAAATAGCAATTTTATAGTCTTAGCCAGTTTAAAAAAAGGACTATATGACACTAATAGTTCTAATTTTCTTCTATAATTTCTTCCCATGCCCCTTCTTCATTTTCTCCCCCACCCCTCAAAAGACATTTATTTATATTATGCATGGTTTCAGAGACATCAATAGCCCTCTGGGACTTTGCTCTAGAGGCCATTCACCATCTAGCAGCCAACACAACATTTTTATTGGAACATGTGGCAGGGGATAGGGGAGTCATTTAGATTACAACCAAGACCAAAGTTCGTCATGGATTATTATAATAAAAATCAGGAGCAGAAACCTACCAAAGATGAGTCCGATTTTCAAGAATCATTTCGAAAGCCGGACGATGCGGCTTTTGTAAATACATGACCTGGTGCAAGTGGATTTGTAATGCACTAACAGCAGATCAACATCACCCTCGTATCTACTATTAACCTCCGTAGTGGTACAACAAAACGCGTATTGTCACTACAGTGAACCAAACCTTGCTGCAAAACCATTATCAATTTAAAATAATCAAACCGCCACCATCTAAGATTTCTTCTCTCCAGCTATTAGCTGACCATTTATTGAAATGCACGCTTGCAAGTCGGCACCACAGATCGTGAGACAGACATCAACATTTGCTATCAACATTTCATGTGCATTGCACCTGCACCAGTATCGAGTACCATTTGCAGCCTAATCTGATGTAAACTCAGCACTGACAGAAAGAAAACAAAACCACCTGTGACACACAAAGTTTAAAGTATAAAACCACATCTCCCGCTCATTCACCTCCTAACCCTCCGGCACAGGGGTTTGAGGTGAGCGATGCGGTGACAGGCCTGAGATTGCAGTCTCTGCTTGACCCCTGCAAGAACGTGACACAAACCAAGCAGCAGTGGTGACCGGGGATTTGGGGGGTTGGGGAGGCGATGGGTGGGAAGGGCCGGGGGGGCGCGAAGAGAGAGGGAAAGAACATATACAAGCGGACATATGGTATAGTACATACATATACACACACACATGCAGCCTGGCTACAAATGCAATTGTAGCAATGCATCGGCATTACGCCAAACGAGGATGATTGCACTATGCATGCCCACCTGAATAATGCTGCCAGCGAGCAGCTTCATTAACCTGCAGCTTCCTCCAGCCAGCCAGACCGTGCGTATTACGTCAGCGCGCCGCTACTCCATCCCCTTCCCCCCACACCAACGGCCGCGCGCGCCCCCTCCCCCGTCCTCCGCCTCCGCCTCCGCCTCGAGTTCTCCACAGGCTTCCCCCAAAACGATATTCCCTTTATGTTTTTCACCACTGGTTAAGATTTTGTTTCCTCGCCGGGGCCGCGATGTCAGAAACAAAACAAACCGGCCGCGGGGATACGGCAGCGGCGGCGCGATATTGTTAAAACTACAACTCCCGCCGGTGGCGCATGCGCAAACAACGAGCCCTCTTGGTATCGAAGATTGGGGGAGGGGGCGGATCGAAAGATAACGTCCCGATCGTCACTGAAACAGCCCCCACCTCCCCCGCCGCCCGCTGGACCTCCTCCAACAGCGCCACCTGAAGGAATGCGCCCACTTACAATTCCGTTCCGCAAACGCAGGACATCCCAAAGCCTCTGGGAATCGCCGGCCGTAATGACTCGAATAGACGCTCCTTTGAAACTGTGGTCCAAAAAGAGCAATTATTTACATTTGAGGAGCCGCAATCTGACATTCGGATGTCAAAAATGGAGAAAAGAATTAGACGTTTTGATGAAGGTTTTTTCTATTTCAAGCGAAGTTGTCACTGATGTGCACTTTTGAAATGAATAACATGAATATCAAACTGTGATGTGGGGGTGCTGGTGTTGGACTGGGGTGGATAAAGTCAGAAATCACACCACATTAGGTTATAGTCCAACAGGTTTATTTGAAATCATAAGCTTTCTAAGCGCTGCCCCTTCGTCAGGTGAATATAAAACAAGCCAAGCCATGAGAATAGGTTTTGATGATCAGATTTTGGAGCCCTACAAGTTCTTAATGGGCTAAATACAACTCTGGAGTCACAGTTTGCAGACTCCAGTCCCACAGCATTTCACAATTCAATGTGTGTTCTACCATTTCATGACTTATCCTAGCTCCTGTCTTACCTGCCTTTCAGGATGGAAATTGCAGAGGCTTTGTCTTTTTTACTGATCTTTATTGGATATGTGTGTTACAATACGAATGCAAGCGCTGGAGAAACTCAGCAGGCCTGGCAGCATCTGAGGAGAGGTAAACAGAGTTAATGAGCTGAATCCAATCCAAATCTTCTGGTGTGATTCTTGTTAACATGGTACTGTTAGCTAATACAGAAAGCTAGGAAAATTCTACGTAGCTTTAGGAGTCATAAAGTTAATAAATTATTGAAAAAATAATTAGGTACAGGATAAATCATATGCTAGAATGGCACAGATTAACCAAGGGCAGTCAGAAATGACAGATCCTGTCGGATTTAGTTGAATGATTTTTTTCTAAGGAGGGCCGATAAAGGTTTGTTGTGGACTGTGTGGGTTTTAGCAAGGTTTTGTGACTGGAACACAAATAGATTTTCACAGGGCTCAACATTAGGGTCCTTTTTTTCATTGCATGTGACGATCGTTTATACTTGAATATAAGGAGCGTGTTTAAGAAATTTGTGGAGAGTACAAAAAGTTGCGGCTGACAAAAGTGCCATAGTTCTATTCTCTCATGAGAGAAAGACAACTGGTGGTGGTTTAACTTGAGGGTTACCATGCCTCAGGTGAGGGAAGAGAGCTTGGAAAGGAAAGACCTTCATGGTAACCTTGGCCGATGCAGGAATTAAACCTATGCTGTTGGCTTCACTCAGCATTGCAAACCAGCCGTCCAAGCTAACCAACTAAAAAACAAAAGAACTGCGGATGCTGTAAATCAGAAACAAAAACAGAAATTGCTGGAAAAGCTCTGTTCTGAGGAAGGGTCACTCAACCTGAAACATTAATTCTGATTTCTGTCCGCAACATTAATTCTGATTTCTGTCCACAGATGCTGCCAGACCTACTGAGCTTTACCAGCAATTTCTGTTTTTGGTCCAAGCTAACCAATCAGGCAACAAGGTGCAGAGCTGGATGAACACAGCAGGCCAAGCAGCATCATAGGAGCAGAAAGGCTGACGTTTCGGGCCTAGACCCTTCATCAGAAATGGGGGAGGAGAAGGGGGTTCTGAAATAAATAGGGAGAGAGTGGGAGGCGGATAGAAGATGGATAGAGGAGAGGATAGGTGGAGAGGAAACAAACAGATCGGAGAGGCGGGGATGGAGCCAGTAAAGGTGAGTGCAGGTGGGGAGTTAGGGAGGGGATAGGTCAGTCCAGGGAGGACGGACAGGTCAAGGGGGCGGGATGAGGTTAGTAGGTAGGAGATGGGGTAGCAGCTTGAGGTGGGAGGAGGGGATAGGTGGGAGGAAGAACAGGTTAGGGAGGCGGGGACGAGCTGGACTGGTTTTGGGATGCGGTAGGGGGAGGGGAGATTTTGAAGCTTGTGAAATCCACATCGATACCATTGGGCTGCAGGGTTCCCAAGCGAAAAATGAGTTGCTGTTCCTGCAACCTTCGGGTGGCATCGTTGTGGCACTGCAGGAGGCCCAGGATGGACATTTCTTCTGAGGAATGGGAGGGGGAGTTGAAATGGTTCGCGACTGGGAGGTGCAGTTGTTTATTGCGAACCGAGCGTAGGTGTTCTGCAAAGCGGTCCCCGAGCCTCCGCTTGGTTTCCCCGATGTAGAGGAGGCCACAATGTGTACAGCGGATGCAGTATACCACATTGGCAGATGTGCAGGTGAACATCTGCTTGATGTGGAAAGTCTTCTTGGGGCCTGGGATGGGGGTGAGGGAGGAAGTATGGGGGCAGGTGTAGCACTTCCTGCAGTCGCAGGGAAAAGTCCCGGGTGTGGTGGAGCTGGAGGGGAGTGTGGAGCGGACAAGGGAGTCACGGAGAGAGTTGTCCCTCCGGAAAGCAGATAAGGGTGGGGAGGGAAAGATGTCTTTGGTGGTGGGGTCGGATTGCAGATGGCGAAGTGTCGGAGGATGATGCGTTGGATCCGGAGGTTGGTGGGGTGGTACCTGAGGTCGAGTGGGATTCTTTTTTGGTTCTTATTGCGTGGACGGGGTGTGAGGGATGAATTGTGGGAGATGTGGGATACACGGTTGAGGGCGTTCTCGACCACTGAGGGGGGGAAGTTACAGTCCTTGAAAAACGAGGACAACTGAGATGTACGGGAGTGGAATGCCTCATCCTGGGAGCAGATGCGGTGGAGGTGAAGGAATTGGGAATAGGGGATGGCATTTTTGCAGGAAGGTGGGTGGGCGGAGGAGTATTCTCGGTAGCTGTGGGAGTCGGTGGGCTTGAAATTAATATCGGTTTCTAGGTGGTTGCCCGAGATGGAGACAGAGAGGTCCAGGAAGGAGAGAGAGGTATTAGAGATGGTCCAGGTGAACTTAAGGTTGGGGTGGAAGGTGTTGGTGAAGTGGATGAACTGTTCGAGCTCCTCGTGGGAGCATGAGGCGGCACCGATACAGTCATCAATGTAATGGAGGAAGAGGTGGGATTTAGGGCCAGTGTAGGAAGAGAGATTGTTCCACGTAACCTACAAAGAGGCAGGCGTAGCTTGGGCCCAT